GACTGTGGCCGTGCGGCCCGTGTCGGGGGCCCACCCCGCCGTGCGTCTGGCCCTCAGAGGGTCACAGGCACCGGCCGCATCATTTCTCCTTCTTCTCCAGCCCCCTCGGTGTCGAGGCCTCTGTTCCCTCTCTGGATTCTGTCACTGCTGCCGGATCCTTTGGATGTGACTCCTCATAACTGACCAAAAGAACAAAGCAACAACGACGACACATTCAGAGGAGGGAAGAGCAGAATCTTTCCGCCCCACCTCCCACCATGGCGGGGAAACCCCTGGGCGCACACATCCTCGGCCCAGCACCTTCCAGGACTTGGCCCGGCCCCGCTGTGCGCCCTCCTCAGACAGGCTGCCTGCTCCACTTTCTCTGTGCCTGGTGGTGCCAAGAGGTGGCAAGGGCAGCGGCAAACGGGAGAGGCTGGACTTGGGCTTGTGAAGACCAATTTTAAGCTTCTTGAACCTTCCACGGGAGAGAATGGGGGAAAAAAGGGGCAGCCAGGATGAGGCTACGGGAGATGCGCTGCCTCCCAGGGCACACGGCAGGAGTCAAACAGCTCAGCCCCAGGGGTGCGGGCAGGCAGGGGGCTGCTCTACTGGCAAGTGGCAGGGTGCCACTCTCCCAGGCAGACACCCTGCTTAACTCTTACTATGGGTTCCATTTATTGAGCAAGTGAGCTCATGCCAAGGACAATACTCACATTTCCTTACCAGATCAACCACACAAGGCAGGCATGTGCCCACTTACAGATGAACAGAGAGGTTTCCGAGAGAGGAAAGTGACTTGCCCAAGGCTATATGTATACGGTATACTGAGAGTGGTAACAGTGTCTACTGCTGTATGACAAGGGCTGCTGACACCCACTCTCACATGAGTCCCACCGTACTGGTGAGGACACCAGGGTTCTGAGGCCCTGCTCCCCCACCCTGCGGCTGGGCACCGTGACTGCCTAGTGGTGGTGGAGGAGCTGCCTCTTGCCGCCTGTCCCTGGCAAACCTCCCTGCCCTGTACACTGGAGCTGGGGTGTCTGCCCTACCTTGGGCCCCAGGGCAGTGGGGGGAAGTGGGCAGGTGGGCACCCGCTGGGCATTACATGGCGCTGGGATTCTGCGGGCGCCGGCGGCGAGGGCCAGCTAGCTTCTGCTGCATGGAGTCCGCCAGGCTGGCTGGGGAGCCCGAGACTGTGGGGAAGTGGGTGAGCCTCGGGGTATGAGGCAGGATTTCCGCTGAGGACTCGTAGCTGTGTGAGAGACAGACAGAGAGACAGAAAAAAGAGATGGAGAGGAAGAGACTAAGGGAGGACAGAGACTTCTCTTCCAAGGAGCAGGGAGCAGAACTGGGTCTTATTTTATCTATCTCTGCACTTTCAGGCTCTGTGGAAAGAAGCCAGTGTTACTTGGAGAACAAAGAAAAAAAGATGCACCTACATAGGGGGACACTCTGCAAAAGAACTAGGATGCCCTAGATGTATACGTGCTGCTGCGGAAACATCTCTCAGATACACCCTTGTGTGAAAAATCAAGATGTAGAATGCTCCAAGAATGCCACCATCTACACAAGAATGTGTACACACATACGTGCTTTTAGGTGCAGAGATGTCTCTGAATGTCCAGGGACAGAGCTGGCCTCTGGGGGTGGCTGAGGTCTGAGGGGTTGTCCCTCTCATGCTATGGAATTTTTTTTTCATGCTGTGGAATTTTGACCGATGTGCATGTGTTACCTATTTAAAAAGAAGTAAATGAATTAAAAAAAAAAGTGAGAGTGCCAATAAAAAGAAAAGTAAAACCAAAGATAAGGTGGAGAATTAGGGAGAGAGATGGGCAGAAAGAGAAGAGAGAGACCATTTGCTTTATCACCTCAATCTAAGAACCTCCTGGGGAGTGGAGGGCAGAAAGGTGGGGCGCCCATGTGGGCGAACATTTAGAGAAACAAAGCACCAAGTGGTTAAAGGCAGGCACCCTCTGTCCTGGCTGGCGAGGTGACTCCAAGTGGGGGCTGGGAGCCGAGGGTGAGGGTAGGGACTGAGCTCAGGGCTCAGGTCCCACCCCTGCCCCCAGAGCTCCCCCAGATCTGCCCCCAAGTTCACCCCCAGCCTTGCCTCAGAGTCCACAGGGCTTTGCCAGGCCGGGAGCCACGAGCAGGCAGGTTGGGAGCCTGGGGCTCCTAGGAAGGGCAGAGGCAGGTACGGGGGAGGGGTGAGTCACAGGTTCCCCTGCAGGCAGCCAGGTGCACAGAAGGCTCTGGCAGGCGCTCGAGGGACAACAGGGAGGCCAGGCAGGTGGAGCTGGGTGGAAGGCCCCTGAGTGGGCAGCTTCAGTTGCAGCTGGCAGCTATTTCTGGGTCCCTGGCGGGCGGGGTCAGTGCTGCTGGGGAGCAGGCACCTGTCGGAGTCATGCAGGCCTTGGGGTCAGGGTGGGGCTGATCATTGGTGTGGCACATGTGCGGACGGCCATGGGGAAGGGGTACATGTGCGACTGAGACAGAGAGAAAGCAGCTAGCTGTGGGTTACAGCCACAGAGGCGACTGGATGGGGGTTGACACTTGACTTCTAACAGGGCATTTCCATCACACTAGGGTCCCCTCTGTTACTCACATGTAGAAACTGAGGCCGGAGGAGGGGAAGGACATGCCTGAAGTCACATGGCAGCAGAGTCAGGACTGGGAACGCAGGGTTCCCAACAGTGGGGCAGTCTGGGGGGGAATCTACACCAGCCAGTTCCTTCTCAAGACTCAGCTGGCATCTGGGTGTGGGGGCTGCCTCGAGAGCCCCCAGGCCTTGCCCTCCCCTGGCTGCTGGCCCCCAGGAGGGTTCCGCTGGTGCCCACGGGTCTGGCACCCACGTGCTGGTGGAAAGGGCGAGGGGTGAGGCCGGTGGTGGGAACAGTGCTCCCCTGGAGACATGTACCAACAGCCCTGACAGGCTCCCCTAGCTGCCTGCAGGTGCACCTGTGCCATGCAGACTTCCGCCCCCTGCCGCCTCTTACCTGAACATCTCTGTCACTTCTCCCTTGGCCAGTGCCACCAGGACAGGAAAGCCGATGCAGGCGGGGACCAGGTACAGGAGTGCAGGCTGAGAGAGAACACAGGCTGGTGAGGCAATGATGGGCAGGGCACAGGCTCAGGGCTGTGCCCATCACCCCAACCCTCTCCCGGGTGTGACTGAGGGACACTGACTGCCCAGGTTCACAGAGCAAGTCAGTGGCTGGGCCCAAACCCAGGGCTCCTGACTCCAGACCAGGGCTGTTCTTCTCTGGGAGGGAACACAAGAAACCCAAAGAAATTCAAGTATGCAGGGCTTTAAGGGCGCCCATGAGTCTGGATGACAGCATCCCAACTGCCCAGGACATCAGGCTCAAACTTGCAACCTCCTGAGTTGGTCCTATTCCCAGAGACCCTGCTTGCCTAGGTCTGGGGTTGGAAGTCTGCACTTTTAACAACGCTCCAGGAGATGCTGTTAGAATGACAATGATTACGACATAGCTGCTATGGATGGAGTACTTTCTGTGGCCTGGATTGAGGTCACCCAACTGGTCAATGGCTCCACTGGGATTCATGCCCAGGTGGTCTGGGCCCAGAGCCTGTGAGGAAACTCCTGGTGAAGCTGGGTCTGGAGGACGGGACAACTACACTAACAGGCCCTGCTCCCAGAGTACCTACTGTGTGCACCGAGCTCAGCCTCTGGGGAGCGCTTCAGTCCATCTCCACACCTGCTGTGACCATCCTCCTTGTGTACGGAAGGAAGGCTGATGCTTCGGGAGGAGAGGGGGTAGCCCAGGCCTTGGAGGCCTAAGTGGCAAACTGGAGGTTGAACTCGGGCCCCCCAGACTCCAAAGCCATTCTTCTTGCAGCATCTGAAAGCTGGACCTCATGCTACTGATCAACCCTCCATGGCCCCCAGCGCTCCCAGCAGCCTGAAGTCCCCATGAGATGTGACCCCTGCTTCCTTCTCCAACCTCACCTGCCCTGCCCTACTCTGGCCACACTGGCCTCATTTTGGTCCTCCTTGTCACCTGAAGCTACAGGACCTCTGCATATACCATTTCTGGGATGTTCTCCCACCTGTGCCTAGGTTCCTCCTCCATCAGACCTTGGCTCAGCGGTTACTTCTGTGGGGCAGCCTTTGCTTGCATGAAGTCAGGCCCTCTTGCTGCACACTCTCAGCTCCCCCACTCCCCCTGCAATTCTTCACAACATTCTCTGGCAACTTGGACTGAAACATCCCTGTGCCATTATAGGCTGGAGTTTCTCTCCTGTTACACTGTGAACTCCATGAGGGCAGGCTCCATAGCTGTCTTGTTCACTGCTGTATTCCTGGTACTCAGAAGAGGGCCTGGTAAATACTAAGCCAATGGGTTCCTCACAGATGCTCACAAAATTAAGGGGGTGTCCTGGAGATAACTAGGGTGAGAGTGAAGGAGACATCGTTCCAAAGGCAAAGCCAGCACCTGGCTAGAGAACAGAGCTCCACAGTCTCCTGAGGCTGACCATCAGACCATTTCCTGGCTCCTGCCATGGGTGAGCTGTGAACTACCCCACTTCATATATATTATCCTTGAAACTAATAACACTCACTTAAGAGCTGGCAGCAACTGAGGGGCTCCTTTGGGAAGAACTGAGTTTGCTTAGTATCACAGGGATACAAACCTATTCTTTTTTTTCCTCTCAAGGCACCAGGGAACCTCTCCAAAGAAAGTCAGTGCTAAGGAGAGGATGGGATGTACAGCTTGGGGCAGTGAGCTGGGGGTCAGGACTCCTGCCTCTCCATCTTGCCTTGGCTTTGCTGTGTGACCACAGATAAACCACTTTCCTTTCTGGGCTTCCCTCTCCGTCCGTATGATGAGGACACCTGATCAGCATTAAAGGTCTTTCTAGGAGGCTGCTAGTCCTGGCTTGGAGTGCATTTTTCTTTTTTTTTTGCGATACGCGGGCCTCTCACTGTTGTGGCCTCTCCCGTTGCGGAGCACAGGCTCCAGACGTGCAGGCTCAGCGGCCATGGCTCACGGGCCTAGCCGCTCCACAGCATGTGGGATCTTCCCGGACCGGGGCACGAACCCGTGTCCCCTGCATCGGCAGGCGGACTCTCAACCACTGTGCCACCAGGGAAGCCCTGGAGTGCATTTTTGATAGAAGCCAAATGGGAACACAGAGGCAAAGGTGACCCCTACCTAGGGAACTGCTCGCACTGGGACTGCCTATGTCTTGGAGAGGGAGAAGGAGCTCAAAGAACAGGTTTCCCTTGTGTCCAAATCCCCATCCCAAAAAAGATTTTCAGAGAGATGCCCGTGTGGATGACTGGGGAGAACAGCTGGGCTGCTGCTGCGGAGTAGCAGAGGCCTGAGACCAGGAGTCTAGGGCTCCAGCCAGGTCTCAGCTTGACTTGCTGCGTCACCCAGGGAAGGCTCCTTTTCTCTCTCCCACAGAGAGGACCACCTCTCCCACCTCTGCCCTGAGCCTGTGTGAGAGCTCCCACTGGAGCCTTCTCTGAGTCTAGCCCAGGCAGAAGGCAAGCCTGCCACCTGGTGGCCCTCTGTGGAATAGCTCTGGGCTTGGACTCTCACGGGACTGACAGCTGGAGAAGAGACCTCTAAGGAGGCCCAAGCACTCTCTGCGCCCTCTTTGCCAAGGGCATGTCCCTCTCAGCTTGCGAGCTTCCAAGGCCATTTGGGGCAGAAGTGAATGAGAGGTGCTTCCCCACTGGTTCTTGGTTTCTCTATGGGCCAGGGGACCTTGGACCTTCTGTAAAACATTAGCATCAATTTCACAGACACTGTGGATATAAAAATATTGAAAGGACTAAATGAGCTAATGAGCGAGAGGGTTTAGCACAGTGCCTCGCACAAAGTAACTGGCCAGCAGCTCTTGTGATTAATTTAAACGTGACTTCCCTGTGGCCGGTGCCCTGGGGAAGCGGGACGGGAGGAGGAGGAGGGGAGGGTGGAGGGGGCACAGTAATGCTAACTGGGCCAGGCATGCTTCTGAGCACTTTACTTATATTAACTCATTTCACCCTCAGACGACCCCAAGGTGGCTACTATTATTTATCCTCATTTTCCGTTTGCACGAATCAATGAGGAATCCTGAGTATAACTTCAGCAACTTGCCCAGAGTCCTGCAAAAGCAGACGGTGGAGCCTGGATTCACACCAGGGCTCCCTCGGCCTCCACTCCACACTGCCTCTCCCATGGCCGGGGGTTCAGAGCCTGGGCTTGGTCTTCACGTGACACAGGTTTGAATCCTCGCTCCACCACACACTTGCCACGTGGCACCTGAACTCCAGTTCCCTCATCTGTTCCCAGGATCCTCCTGAAGTACTGAGCAGAGCCTGACACACAGGGGGCGCTCTTATTTCCAGCAGAGCAACCTTGTCTGCTGGCTTTCCCCTCCCCAGCTCCTCTTCTCCAGGCCACGCTGACAGCTTTCAGCCCCAGCCCAGCCTGGTTCACTCTGTGGCAGCTCAGCACGCATCTAGGTGGGAGAAGGGGGCAGAGCCTGGCCTGCTTGGGGAGTGATGGAAGGGGGGCCCTGACATCCTGTCACTTACCTGGTGGGTGGACAATGGGCTGAGACCCCCAACACCCACCTGATCCTGTTCTTCTGTCCGCTCCCACTACCGAGGCTGAGAAGCCATGGCCACATTACAGCTGGGGCCCAGGGACACTGACGTGTCCCAGGAGATGCAGGCAAAAATCTGCTGAGAGGACTTGGAGAAAGGTGTCGCCTTCCTGATGAAGGCGACAGGCATGCTGGCATCCTTCCTCCTTCTCCTCCTTGCCACCAGTGTGCATGTGCTGCCTGAAGCAGGGCAGTCGCCTTGCAACGACCACAGGTGAAAAGGCCAAGAGAATCACAGACACGCTTGCTCTACACCACTGGACTGCTTGCATGTGGGACAAGTAAGTGCCCATCACTTGCAGTGAAAGCACTCCCGACACACCGAGGACAGTCATGCTCACCTGGGCGTGTTTGAAGATGTGCATGATGAAGATAGTCAGGCCCAGGCCGAAGATGTAGGCTGCAAAGCTGGTGTAGAAGTAGGTGTGGGTGTTCTTCTTCAAGCTTCAGGGATGGTGTGGGGAGAGAGGAGGGTGAGACTGAGCTACTGCAAAGCAACAGTGAGGAGTGGGGGAGCTGGGGAAGACCCTGGAGGCTGTGTGGGGTGGCTGAGAGCTCTGGGCTGGGGGCTTGGAGGTGAGCATGCACTCTGATTCTGCCCCAGCTAAGTGTCTTTGGACCAGTCACTTTCCTTCTTTCAGCATCAGTTTACTCATCTGCAAAATGGGAAAACCACGAGCCATCTCCCTAGTGGTTGTTGAATATCAAGTGCTATAACCTAGAACAGTGGCTAGGAAGCTCAGGCCAGCATAAAAATCACCTGGACAGCATGTTAAAAAAATAGAGCTGTATGGGAGTTCCCTGGTGGCCTAGCGGTTAGGATTCTGGGCTTTCAATGCCGTGGCCCGGTTCAATCCCTGGTCAGGGAACTGAGATTCCGCAAGCCACGCAGCACGGCCAAAAAAACAAAACAAAAACAAAAGAAACACCCAGAGTTCTAGGTCCAATTCCCAGGGAGTCGGATCTAACAGGTCTGGGACTCTGCATTTTTTTTTAAATTTTGTAATAACTTTATTTATTTTTGGCTTTTTAAAAAAACTGAAGTATAGTTGATTTATAATATCATATACAATACGATATATATATTATATATATAATATGTATTATTTTATATATATATATAATATACGATACGATCATATAATTACTTTCAGGTGGAAAGCACAGTGATTCAGATATATATATAAATATATATATATATTCTTCTTCAGATTCTCTTCCAAGTTATTACAAAATATTAAGTATAGTTCCCTGTGTATACAGTAGGTCCTTGTTGGTCTGGGGATCTGCATTTTGAATCTGATACAGGTGGATCATGCTTTGAGGAACACTGATACAGAAACTGTACAGCAAAGTTCTTTTAAGCGCAGTGGAACTAACAGTTCAGTAACCCGCTGTGAATACTGAATGGATGCTGATTACATGGATAGAACGCCAGTGGCTTTCTGGGCAATTCACCCAAGATCAGCTTCAGAAGAGCTGACCCGTGCAACCTGGCACCGCCATCACTTGATGCCCTTTCACAATGCCAGCTCAGGACCTTTGCCTGTGTCCAGCAACATCTGTGGAATGAATGAGTACTTCAGATGCCCTTCCCTCCTTACCCTGGCGGCTTCTGAGCCTAGAGCTGCAAGTACACTGAGACCTGTCCTGTTGTGCAGCCTGGAGGGTAACGGATTCCCTTTGGGAATGTCACGCAGATTCTGGAACCATCTCGGAAGGACTTGCTTATCCCGCAAGTCCAGGCCAGGAATGAGATCCTTCCTCCAAGGGTGCTGCCAGCTGAATCTGTATCTCTAGCAAATGGCCGGGAGACTTGTGGGTTGCTTTTTGTATTACCTCTGAACATCTAGGGGCAGAGCAGCTGGCACAGATGTGCTTCTACTTACAGACTGGCCAGGTCCCTTCCAAAGGCTCCACAGTGGCACTACCCAAATAACCCAGATCTATGTAAATGAGGAAAAGTTAAAGTTTCACATGCAACTTGGATTTCCATGCACTGGCACTGAGTTTCTCACTACCACTTTCAACACTATTACTGTTTTGGCAACTACTGGGCACAAGGAGATTAAGAAAAGTTCATAAACCACCTCAAAATTAAGCGCGCACACAGCAAGCCCTCCACTGGGAAGACTGAACACCATCTACTGGTGGCAGGCCCAGCTGACCAGGTGCATTAACTCGGTGTGACCTTTCCTGAGTTTTAAGGGGTGGCTCAACTTGGCCCCCTTCCCTCGCCCTTGTGCTCACTTTCTACAACGGACTGAAAATGTCTGAGTAAGGAGAGGGTGTGGAAGAGCTAGAGCAGCTGGGACACGGTGACCTGACCCCGGCTGATAAAAAGCGATAATGATGACGATGGTGCCTGCAGCTGGACTTCCCTGGGAGCCGCTGAGGTCAGCCTGTGCTCAGCACTCCCTCCACATCTTCTCGGTCAGCCCCAGGCAGGAGCTCCTGTTTACTACTAACTTAAGGATGAGAAACCTTCCCTCAGAAAGGTCAGTTCACTTGCCAAGATCGCACGGTGACAAAGCTCTATGGGTACCACCAGGACCCTCTGGGTTTAAATCTCACTCTGTGATTCATACCTCCCCCACCCTCTCCAGGCTCTTTGAACACTTAGAACCTCAAGATGCAAAACGCAGATAAAATCGGAATTGCCCTGGCTGCTGTGGGGGTGGAAGTTGTGGTCCCGAGTTCTCTGCGGTCCCCAGAGAACCTCCCTGCCCAGGGGAGGCCCCTCACTTGTGGAACCTGAGTATTAGGGTGCCTAAGCGGCTTACCTGATGTCAAAACGCAGCAGCAAGGCGATGAAGATTCCTGCGGGGAGAAAGCCAGGTTAGACAGTGGTAGAGGAGGAGCAGGGTAGTCAGCTAATATGCAACTGTGTCCCCACTTGTTCTCAGCCACGGAGCAATCATCAGGGGGCCAAGGGTGTGGCTGACACTGCTAACTGCCAGCAGAAATCCCGTTTCTCTACCTTCAGGCCACCTGGAACAATGAGACGGTCCCAGGATTTTGCTTTGGTCTGGGACCACGTTGACCTGGCACCTCATAGCACCACAGTGTGGCACACTGGGCCCACCCTCCCAAACATTTACAGGGTGCCTAAGCACTAGGCACCATACGCAATACAGGGGGAAGCAAAACCACTGCTCTCAGAGCCCAGCCGAGGGGGCAGGGCATGCTGACCGAATATTAACAAAAATCAGTGTAAATAACTGGAAAAGAAGAAGTAAAGCTGTCACTGTTTGCAGATGACATGATACTATACATAGAGAATCCTAAAAATGCCACTAGAAAACTACTAGAGCTAATCAATGAATTTGCTAAAGTAGCAGGATATAAAATTAATGCACAGAAATCTCTTGCATTCCTATATACTAATGATGAAAAATCTGCAAGAAAAATTAAGGAAACACTCCCATTTACCATTGCAACAAAAAGAATAAAATACCTAGTAATAAACCTACCTAAGGAGACAAAAGACCTGTATGCAGAAAACTATAAGACACTGAGGAAAGAAATTAAAGATGATACAAACAGATGGAGAGATATACAATGTTCTTGGATTGGAAGAATCAACATTGTGAAAATGACTCTACTACCCAAAGCAATCTACAGATTCAATGCAATCCCTATCAAACTACCACTGGCATTTTTCACAGAACTAGAACAAAAAATTTCACAATTTGTATGGAAACACAAAAGACCCCGAATAGCCAAAGCAATCTTGAGAACAAAAAATGGAGCTGGAGGAATCAGGCTGCCTGACTTCAGACTATACTACAAAGCTACAGTAATCAAGACAGTATGGTACTGGCACAAAAACAGAAAGATAGATCAATGGAATAGGATAGAAAGCCCAGAGAACTACATGTAAAAGAATGAAATCAGAACACTCCCTAACACCATACACAATAATAAACTCAAAATGGATTAAAGACCTAAACGTAAGACCAGACACTATAAAACTCTTAGAGAAAAACCTAGGCAGAACACTGTGACCTAAGTCACAGCAAGATCCTTTGTGACCCACCTCCTAGAGAAATGGAAATAAAAACAAAAATAAAAACAAGGACCTAATGAACTTAAAAGCTTTTGCACAGCAAAGGAAACCATAAACAAGATGAAAAGAAAACTCTCAGAATGGCAGAATATATTTGCAAACCAAGCAACTGACAAAGGATTAATCTCTAAAATTTACAAGCAGCTCATGCAGCTCAATAACAAAAAAACCCAAACAACCCAATCCAAAAATGGCCAGAAGACCTAAATAGACATTTCTCCAAAGAAGATATACAGATTGCCAACAAACACATGAAAGGACGTTCAACATCACTAATCATCAGAGAAATGCAAATCAAAACTACAATGAGGCATCACCTCACACCAATCAGAATGGCTATCATCAAAAAAATCTACAAACAATAAATGCTGGAGAGGGTGTGGAGAAAAGGTAACCCTCTTGCACTGTCGGTGGGAATGTAAACTGATACAGCCACTATGGAGAACAGTATGGAGGTTCCTTAAAAAACTAAAAACAGGGCTTCCCTGGTGGTGCAGTGGTTGGGAGTCTGCCTGCCGATGCAGGGGACACAGGTTCGTGCCCCGGTCTGGGAAGATCCCACATGCCGCGGAGCGGCTGGGCCCGTGAGCCACGGCCAATGAGCCTGCGCGTCCGGAGCCTGTACTCCGCAGCGGGAGAGGCCATGGCAGGGAGAGGCCATGGCAGTGAGAGGCCCGCGTACCACACACACAAAAAAAGAAACCCCAAAAGGGCTTCCCAGGTGGTGCAGTGGTTGAGAGTCCGCCTGCCGATGCAGGGGACACGGGTTCGTGTCCCGGTTCGGGAAGATCCCACATGCCGTGGAGCGGCTGCGCCCGTGAGCCATGGCTGCTGAGCCTGCGCGTCGGGAGCCTGTTGCTCCGCAACGGGAGAGGCCACAACAGTGAGAGGCCCGCGTACTGCAAAAAACAAAAACAAAAACAAAAAACCCCCCCAAAACAAAAAAACTAAAAACAGAACTACCATATGACCCAGCAATCCCACAACTGGGCATATACCCTAAGAAAACCATAATTCAAAAAGAGTCATGTACCACAATGTTCACTGCATCTCTATTTACAATAGCCAGGACATGGAAGCAACCTAAGCGTCCATCGACAGATGAATGGATAAAGATGTGGCACATATATACGATGGAATATTACTCAGCCATAAAAAGAAACGAAATTGAGTTATTTATAGTGAGGTGGATGGACCCAGAGTCTGTCATACAGAGTGAAGTAAGAGACAAACAAATACCATATGCTAACACATATATATATGGAATCTAAAAAAAAAAAAAGGCTCTGAAGAACGCAGGGGCAGGACAGGAATAAAGACGTAGACGTAGAGAATGGACTTGAGGACACGTGGAGGGGGAAGGGCAAGCTGGGACGAAGTGAGAGAGTGTCATGGACATATATACACTACCAAATGTAAAACAGATAGCTAGTGGGAAGCAGCCGCATAGCACAGGGAGATCAGCTCAGTGCTTTGTGACCACCTAGAGGTGTGGGATAGGGAGGGTGGGAGGGAGATGCAAAAGGGAGGAGATATGGGGACATATGTATATGTATCGCAGATTCACTTTGTTATACAACAGAAACTAACATACCATTGTAAAGCAATTATACTCCAATAAAGATGTTAAAAAAAAATCAATGTAAGACTGCCTGTGAAAGGGTGCTTCCTGTGTCATGGGAAGGTCTATCAGGGGATGAGACCCAGGCTGGGGGGAGGTGGGGAGGAAGGAGGGCTTCTTTGAGGAAGTGACACTTGCCAGGGAGAGGGAACAGCGTGTGCAAAGAGGAAAGAGGGCTCAGGAGGTGTGGCAGGGCTCAAGGAGCCAGTGAGGCTGCAGCCCAGAGCAGGAGATGCTGGGGATGGACCAGCCATACAGGGCCCTATGGGTACGAGGAGTGGGAGTAAGGGGACACACTGGAAGAATTCTAAGTGGGAGGATAACCTAAAAAGATTTTGAGAAAGACCCCCATGGCAGTTGCTTGGCTGGAGGGAGAAAGAGCAGGAGCAAGCAGACCACCGGGAGGCTCTGCAGGAGCTGAGGCAAGGACAGTGAACTCTGTCCACCCACTGCACTATTTGCACTTCAGAACCGAGCCCAGTCACGCTGGAAACCTGAGTCCCTGAGACACAACCAGCCAGACCGGCCTCTGCATGTTGCACACACGTCCATCTGTGTGTCTGTCTCCCTCACTTATCTTGGGGCTCAGACAGAGCAGGGCTGAGCCTCATTCAGTTGACAGCAGGTTCTCAGGAGCCAAAACATTCTGTGCTCATCAGAAGCACTGACTGGCAATATGTGATTAATTTCAAAGAGGAAAATGAGTTAGTCCCCACTGAGGACTGTGAGTAGCGAGCTGGTGGGTGGTGAGAACAGACAAATGCTGCCGTTCTGGAAACAAAACTGGGAACCCAGTGGCCCCTGGCAGCTGAATGCTACAACTGTTCTTCAACTAATCCACGGGCCAGAGCTCCCAAGAGCTTTTACCCATAATCATGCATCTGATCCTCAGAGCAACACCCCACAACCCATTCTTCCTTCAAGATCATCCCCCAGGCTCTGTGAGGGAGCAATAACTCACGCTGATTGTGACTGCTGAAAAGACTCAGATACACAGGAATATGGGGATATGCAGAGATGTCCCACGCAGGCCTCAAGCCCAGAACCACCCAACAAGGACAATGGGGAAGTCTGTGGGTGCCTGTGACAGACCCTCCCCTGCAGGGCGAGACGAATGCTTTATGGGACTCAGTTTCTTCAGTCTGATGGGGCTGCTTCCCTCCTCCCACCACAAGCTATGGGAACACCTGGCTTCAAGACCATGGCCCCACGGCCTTAGGCAAGTCTCTATGAGCCTCAGTTTCCTCATCAGTAACATGGAAATACCCTCCACCTCATCGGGCTGCTAGAAGTAGCAAAGATAACATATTAAAAACAGCCAGCATAGTGCTTGGCCAACAACAGGTGCTTGACAAACGGTGGTTCTGGGACTATCTTTTTCTTGTTATTCCTGTCATAAAAGCAGTTCTGATAATATAAGTTTTTGCAGTCGGATAGACCTGGCCTGAGTCTTGGCCCTTTTGCTTCCTAGTGTGTCAATTTACCTTAAGTCTCTTCATTTCTGAGCCTCAGTTTCCTCACTGGCACAAGAGAGAAAGCCTTTGCTTCACCATCATACTTATCACAAAAGGAAGGTATCACAATACAGTGCCTGTACCATCCCAGCTTACTAGCAGAATTGCTATCATGTCCTACACTGGAAAATAAATTGGCTTTTAATTTGTTCCAAACTTTCTTCTTTTAAGCAAGCACCAGGGGTGCTTCTAACCCTCTGACTCTGAGCCTCTGGGACTAGGGGAGTAAGAATGCTCTTCGGATGTTCCGTGCCCGTCACCAGGCCTGGATCTCGCAGACACACAGAATCCAAGCCTCAGCCATTTCAGCTGCCCTCAGAGAGGCAGCTCAGCTTTGCCCCCAGGTAGTTCGGGCTGCAGGCCGCCAGGGATGTATGTCCAGGCTCAGACCTTCACACAGGGCACCTGTCCCTGTATCCACAGGTACGCTGACCAGCACCCACACATAGATAATGGGCTCAAAGGCCAGCTCGTGCAGTCGAGCAGATGCATGCCACCTGTCCCTCTGCTAAGACTGCAGACAAAGGAGCCCACAGCCATGGTGCCCCATGTCCACACACAGTGCATGTTCTCCCTGGAGCCCTCCCAGCACTGGGGAGACAAGGATCTGTGGCAGTTCTAGCACATTTGTGTTACCTGAAAACATTGGGAAGGGGTGTGTACACATGCTAGTGTGTGAGGGGATCAGACTCCTTTAACACTGCCACAGAATGTGCTTGTTTAGAGTGTATTTCGGTCTGTCATATACATTTATTTCTGTAGTTCTTGAGTAATGTCTGCTCACCCAGTCAGAAGCTCCATGAGGGGCAGTCTTGCTCACCCTGTCCCTCCAGTGTGCAGCCCATGGCCTGGCCCAGGACCGGCACTCCACAATGTGTGCTGAGGTAGACCCCTTCACCAGACCCCCGGGCAGGGGGCAGGGGTACCTCCCAGCCTAATCCTTTCTCCTTCCCTCTCCTGGTGGGTAAGGCTGTGTTTCACAGGACTCCTCCTTCTCCAGGGAAGCCCCCTCCACCCTTTGCACTGTGGCCCCCACCTCAGCGTGGTCACCTGGAATGACGATGTCTCCGAGTCCCAGCATGGCAAAATTGTCCGCTTCCAGGCCCTTCTCCAGCAGATCCTGGGGAAACACCACTGCAGGGGGAGGCAGGGATGCGAGGAGGTGGTGAGAGCCCAGCTCACTCTGACTCCTAGCCCTCCACCACTGGTGTATGGAACTCACACACTTGCATTTCTGGGTGGGGGGATGGGAATGGGGAGCCGAGAGGATGCCGAAGGGCTGAAGGGCAATGTCTCCATCTGGAATCAGCTGGTTAGAGCAGGGAAGAATCTAGGATCATCTAGGCTAAAGGTTTAATGCCTTTATTCAGCTGTAACTCACATGTCATACAATTTCAATGCCCTTTTATAGCTAGAACTCTGGTTAAATGGGAATGACCCTAAAGCCTAGTATATAAAAGATGAAACAGCCCACACGGTGCTGGCATCTAATAGGCTATGCATCTCACTGCAGCTGGGGTGTGGACAGACCCTTGTCCTGAAGCAGGGAGAGCTTGGGCTACAGGCTGTTTCTGTATCTGCTGAGGGTGAAGAGGTCATATACCTATAAATTCCTTGCTTAGAGCTCCTTACTCAGAAATCCTGCTGGCCAGCTTGTTTGGATAAATACAGATTGAGAGAAATGCCTCCCTGTATGTCCAGTTATGGCAAGAGGCAGCTGTAGCTGGATTTCATCCATAGGGGCCTGGAGCAGAGAGCAGTTATGTATGGGCTTCAGGGTCAGACTGTGTGGGTCTGAATCCTGGCTCTGCTGTGTGACTGCACAGTTTACTTAACTGCTCTGGGTCTTGGCTGTCTCACCTATAAAATGGGTATAACAGCTGAACTGACCCCATGGAGTTGTGGTGAGGATTGGGTGATTTGCACACATTGTTAACTGCTACGTCATGCCTTCCTTACTAACCCAGTCCTGCTTTTGTGTGTGGCCGCCCTCCCAGGGGATGAATCAAGTGTGGCATAAGGCTAAGACAATCAGGACAATCTGGTCCCCAAATTCCTGACTTCCCTGGCAGCTAGGAGTGGTCACGTGACCTAGCTCTGGCCAGTGGTACGTAAGCAGAGGTAAGCTGGGGGTTCTGGGCAAGCTTGTGTTTCCCTAATGAATTGTACAGAGGCCCTTCCTTGCCTGCTTCTTCCTGCCTTGAATGCACAATCAAGTGATTTACAGCTCTCCTCATTTGATCCTCCCAAACCTGGTACCATTCAATTCTGAGCGGCAGATGTGGAAACCAGGGCCCAGGGAGGTGAAGTCTCCTCCCTCAGGCCATGTAGCCAGCGACGGTCACATCTGGGATTCAGGTCCAGGCCTCCTGACTTCAGCATCTGTCCACTTAACCACTCTGTTAGACTGCCTCTGAGCTCTACTCCTAGTAGTGGAGGGCAACGGACTTTCTCCGCAAGCCAGAAAGCCAAATTTCAAGCACCAGAAACAAGAGGTGACTGTCATTTCCCTGTTCAGAGTCTTCCAATGGCTCACCCACTGCCTAATGAGCAGTGTCCAGGCTCCTTGACATGCCACCCTTGGCTTCCCCATATCTGGCCTCTTTTCTGCTGCTCCCCTAAACTCAGCCACATTCCCTCCCCGATTCTCTGCTCCCTCCATGCATTTTCCTAATTGTAGCCCTTGGCTGAAGCTGTACTCTCTCTTTCAAATGCTCCTACTGCCCCTGCATGCTTGGTAAACACATATTCATCCTTCGTGACCCAGGAAAGCTTTCCTGACACCTTGGCTGGGTTCATCCATCACAGCACGTAGGGCACAGCTGCTCTTCTTTCTGGCTTGCCCAGCATCTGTTCTCTTGCTCTGAAGAGCTGCCCTCACCTTACACCCTTGATTCTGGGAGGCTGCTGATTCAAATACTCTGCCCTCAGGCACTGGAGAGGGCAGTGACCCTGGCCTTTCCACCACTCCCAGCTGGAATGCCTAGCTCACGGGCCAGGCCAGGCTCCATGGGTTCATCCAAGCCAAAGCTGGGAGCAACTTGTTTTCCTCTAGGGTCGCTGAGCTGCGACTGCAGCAGCTAGGAACAACGAGTGGCCGCCAACCTCTCTCCAGCTCACAGAGAGGACCTGTGTGCATCAGGGGAGAGTCAGACCATGAGGAGGACAGTCATTTCTTCACTCTTGGGGCTGACTCCACCCCATCGGCCCACTGCCCAAGCAGCACTCCTTGTGGAGCTGTGATGTCTTCCTGACAGGATCTCCCTGCTTTCTTCCATCATATCTGACTGATTCCGTTCCTCCTCTTTGGGTCTTGTGATGCCAGGAGGTGATTCTTGATTAGTCTAAGGCTTAAACTCCAAGCTCATCATGCTTTTCCCATCCCCCTTGATGATGAATGACAGAATTGGGCCTGTGACCCAATTCTGGCCAGTGAAATATGAGAGAGGCTACAGGGGGGATCTGGGGAAAAACATCCCTCTCTGATGAAAGAGAGACATAAAGTTTCCCCTTTCTGCCCCTGACCATGTTGAGAATGGTGGGGTGGAGGGCTGAGGTGACCCTGGCTCTTGGCAACACCACTGAGGGTCAGAAACCCAACTCTAGATGCTCTGCCACTGGGCTTGCTGCAGTGTGAAATAATAACATTTCCACTTTTTTTTTTTTTTTTTTTTACGCAGCACAGCATGCAGGATCTTAGTTCCCTGACCAGGGACTGAACCCGCTCCCCCTGCAGTGGAAGGGCGGAGTCTTAACCATTGGACCGCCAAGGAAGTCTCCACGTTCTTTACAGATGCTTGTAGGTGGGCTTTCTAATATTTATAACAATGGATACACTGAAGCACAGAATCAGCGCAGTGTGAGAGGCGTGGGGCAGACAGCACCTGAGATTTATGTGCCAAAGGGATCCAGGGAGAGGGCTCCAGGTCTTGGCGTGGGCCCCTGGAGGCCCCTGCCTGCCCTGCACAGGCTGCATCAGACACCCCTCTCTGTGCTCGCCCCCATTCCAGCTCATCCCACAGAGCCATGTACTGTGACCAGACGGCCGGAGGCCAGGGCCTGGGAGGAGGATGGCTGTGCAGGAACACAGTGGACGAATCAAAGGGGAGAAGGAAACCAGGCTGGAGACACAGGGGAGCTTGGAGAAGGAAGAGCTAAGGGAGGGTATGGACCAAAACAGGGACCACGAGGGGATGGGCCACCAGGGTGGGGGCAGACGGGCTTCCCATGGTGGGGTGGTCACTTACATTTTATCGGTGCCTCAAAGGACTTGGCCACTGTCACCATCACATTGGTGCCAAATACCTAGGAGGAGGAGAGAGGAGTCTGGAGGTAGGTGAGGGCTGGGTGGGAAGGAATGGCTGTGCTTGGGCTTCTCAATGTGCTGCTGCCTGGGACAGGCGGGAAAGGGGCAGGGAGCCAGGAAGGGCTCCAGAGCAGATGTGAAGTTGAGATGAGGTGGCCACCGACACTGGCCATGTGGACACTTCACGGGGTTCCTTGTTCTAGGTAGCAACCAGGGGCAATTCCAAGGAGTTGGTAAAGGGCCTCTGATGCCCCCGGCCAGGCATCCTATGTTAGTTCAGGGGTCTGCCCCTCCCAAGAGAGAAAGTCCTCCAGCACCACGTACTTAAGGGGAGAAGAGGCTGCCTGAGGCCATGGAAAGGGTGCCTGAGTCAGGCTACCCTCGATCCCTCAGCGGGGCCCCTCAGAGTGAGTGTGGCAGGTCTCTTAGCCCAGGGCTGGCACGCAGCCTACGTCCTCACAGTCGGTACCTTGCTCACCAGCGTCCACTCATCTGCTTTAACCACACCTGCCTCAACGTCTCTGAGCCTCAGCTCGCTTGCCGGAGAGACACAGGATAAGCAATACCCCTGCTGGGGCCACCATGAGGAAGAGAGGGCAGCTGGAAAGCACTGGGCGTACGGTGGGCTCTCAGCAAGTGAGGACTCTGCTCTCTCATCCATTCCACAGCTGAGGGCACTGGGCCCAGAAAGGACCTGCTCTGGGGTCTTACTTCCAGGTCAGGGCAGCTTCCCTCTATCAGATGACCGCTGCTTGGGCCAGAGACAGGGGAGGAGGCGGCGAGGGGGCTCAGTAGCCAGATATCCTTTGCGTCCCTGTCCAACTCACCCAGAAGACGTCGTAGATGAATAGCCCGCCCAGCAGGATGCAGCCGGTGCTGACGTTGTTCAGGTGCAGGAGCTCTACCCCATTAAGGGAGAAGGCCAGGCCGAAGAGGTTGTTGGCAATCCAGTGCTGGGGAAAGATGTGAGTGAGACCAGCTCTCCTGCCCCCAACCTGCCCCTCAGGCGCTTCCCCCGACACTGCCCCGGGCCCTGGCTACGCACCTTCCTCAGCAGGTACCAGACACCAACGATGCTGCTCAGGCCCAGGCACACCAGGTCCTTGGTGTCAAACTCATAGTTGATGATCTCTGGGCAGAGAGGCCGGGTAAGTCCACTCCCCGGGGCGGGGCTGCCCCTCCCACCTGTCAGCCCCTGGACGGAGGAGGGCATGGCTGTGGGCTCTGTCAGAGATCCACAGGTTGGGGGTGCATCACTGGAGCCCCCCCACCCAGCCCCTCCAATTTCCTAGAGGAGGGAATGGAGGCCCAGAGAGCACCCAGGCCTGACACAGGGTCAGTGGGAGGTGGCTCGTGGTGCTGGAAGCACAGGCTCTGCGCTTGTAGCTGGGTGGCCTCGGGGGAGGCAGTTCCCTCTCTGAGCTTCAGTTTCCTCATCTGTAAAAAGGGGATCACAGCACCTCCCTGATAGGACTGCTGTGGGGAGCAGGTAAGACGGCCCTTACACAGCACTCAGCATGGAGCCTGCACACAGTGGGTGCTCAATCAATGCTGACTGCACCGAGCCCAAGGCTTTTGCAAGGTCCCAGTTCATTCAGGAATCTTTCTACTGTGCCACCAAAGGAATCAAGAAGCTTGCTGGCAGCGCTGTCAACAGCACAGGAGGAGGAAGGTAAGAGAGGGAGGCCTGGAGAAGCAGCAGGCAGGAGGCCCCCAGGGTGCTCTGGTGGGGAGCCTGTGGCAGACGTCCTGATGTTAGACCCCTTCTCCACCACCTCCAAGTGTCCTACTAAGGAAGCCCAGAGAGGCGGCGGAACTTGCCCAGGGTCACAGAGCACAGCATTTCCTTTCAGATTCCAGACTGTAGCAGACTGCTGGTTGGCCCCAGTTGTTGTTCACTCCTTTGCGCTAACAATACCCTGATGATTTTCACCTGGACACAAGGCCAACCAGCTCTCGGCCACATTTTCTAGCTTCCCTTTAGCTAAATGGGCCCGTGATACAGTTGTCTCTCCTTCCTTTGGGAGGGCCCGTGGAGCAATGGTGCGCTATTCTGGACCTGCGGGCCCCTGAGTGCGGCAGAGCACAAGACAGGTGAAAAAACTCAACAGTCACTGACTGGGTACAGACGCCTAGAAATGCACAAAGGAATCCTGCTCTCCAGGATCTGCATATAAAACCACTGCTCTCCAGGGACAAGGCAGAACATGCTAGGCACATTCACAAGTGCGACATTCGCAAGCTCAGACTTTGACACGAGAGAAATACCTTCCATCTGGCCAAGCTGTTGATAATCCTGTCACAGCAGTAGAACCCACAACCTGACTAACCCACATGACCCAGGCTTTCCCCAATTCCCTGCAGTTTTCATTTTTACGAAAGCCACGGAACTCCCCTTTCAAATCTTAGGTGGGGAATAATCACACTAAAAACTGACATGATAAAAATAGCCACGAGAGCCAACTGTTTACTATGAGCCAGGCAGTGTGCTGAATGCTTTCTACTCATCACTTACTCACAGTCCTAACAACATGCCTATAAGGGAGGTACTAGATTATGATGTTCATTTTACAGATGAAAAAAAACAAAAACAAAAAAACCCCAACCAAACCACTCAAGGCTCAGAGAGGTAACGGTGTGCACCCAGAGGCAGAGCTGGGATGTGATCCCAGAGCCCACCTTTTCCATCACTCGCTGTACCGGGGAGTCGCAGTATTGAAGAGACAAAGGCGGGGGTGGGGGAAGACACCCAAAGCAGGGGAAAGTGGGCAGCACTCACCTTCCTTGTTCTCCCCAGAGCCCTGGGTGAAGAGCAGCTGATACTGTCGATTTGGGAAGTTGGCTGGAAAAAACTTATTCATGAAGGGGCTGGAAGGAAAGACAAAGCAGGTTGGCAAACAGAGCTCCCATGGCCAACAGTCACTGATGCCCTCCCCAGGCATCTGTTTACAAGCTGTTATCTCCCAACAGCCTCACAGCTGCCCTGAGAGGTAGGTGTTATTGTGCCCATTGTACAGATGTGGAAACAGGCCCTCAGAGGGCAAGTGACTGCCCAGGTCACATAGGAAGTCAGTATCTGAGCTGAGACCTGAACGTAGGTCTCTGGACTCCTAGTGCTTCCATACTGCCTCCTAGTTATCACACAATAAACACAAAGCAGAGGCAGATTTTCACATAAAACAGTTTTTAGGAGAGCAATGGATTCCAAAGTCTAGTTTATGTACCATCTGTATCAGAGTCCCTTGTCAAGAATGCATATTCTGGCTCAAGCCTGAGTAGGGCAAGTCCTCATTGTTGAAGGAGACCCACTGAGTCTAGGCAGATGGCAGAGCTGAAATGAGGTGCCAACCAGTAGCCTGGGGGGAGATCTGACTCCTCAGAGGGTGAGCATGCCTGGGCCCCATACTGCTTAGGATGCTGGAAGGCTAGCAGCCGAGAGGGGCTCATTAACCTCAGATGGTCCTAAATAAACCACTTTCTCCTTGCCGGCTCCCCCCGCAGCCAGAGGCAGCTGACCTGGCCTGGTCCAGAGTAAAGCAGAGGATGTGCCAACCATGGCCAGGCCCACAGAGGGAAAGAAGATCTGCAGCCCTCTCTCCTGGGGTGGAGGTAGAGAGGTAGATGGGTGAGGAGGCATGAATTTTTTTTTTTTTAATAAATTCATTTATTTATTTATTTTTGGCTGTGTTGGGTCTTCGTTGCTGCGCGTGGGCTTTTTCTTTAGTTGCGACAAGTGGGGGCTACTCTTCGTTGCGGTGCGTGGGCTTCTCATTGCGGTGGCTTCTCTTGTTGCGGAGCACGGGCTCTAGGCGTGCAGGCTTCAGTAGTTGTGGCACACAGCCTCAGTAGTTGTGGCTCGCGGGCTCTGGAGCGCAGGCTCAGTAGCTGTGGCGCGTGGGCTTAGTTGCTCTGTGGCATGTGGGATCTTCCAGGACCAGGGCTCAAACCCGTGTCCCCTGCATTGGCAGGTGGACTCTTAACCACTGCGCCACCAGGGAAGTCCCATGAATTCTGCTTTTGACTCTAGGAACGGAAAGATAAACCCCTTGTCCCAATTCCTCTTGTTTATTCCCAAAGCCATTCAGATGTGTTCAGTGTGGCAAATCAAAGCTGCAGCATTCCTTTGCATTTTGAGGCTATTAGAGACTTTCCATTAAAATGTCCATCCAGGGCTTCCCTGGTGGCGCAGTGGTTGAGAGTAAGCCTGCCGATGCAGGGGACACGGGCTCGTGCCCCGGTCCGGGAAGATCCCACATGCCGCGGAGCGGCTAGGCCAGTGAGCCATGGCCGCTGAGCCTGCACTCC